GGCCAGGAGGGGAGAGGGAATAGAACACAGGACATTGCAGGGGTCACTGAATCGACCATTTCCGATACATCAAGGGAGATGCAACAGACTGCAGCCTATGGACAGGACTCTCATGGGAGCAGATCTCGAAAGACTTCAGGTTGTGGGATGATGTAGCAGGGCATCTTACCCCCCATGACAGTTTATCTGTTGTTTGTTAACTGGTCAGATAATTCAAACAGGACAGTCTGAGGCTGAGATAAGATCCAGCCGGCCCTGGACTCCTGTCTCTGAGAAGGGATTCAGAGAGCAAGGGAGTCTTCTCAGTACCTCGTGACTCAGTGGCCAGGCTTCTTTAATAAACCCTCTCTGAAGCTCCCACTCCACCTGCAACAGATCAGCTTACATTAAGAAGGGAAAAATAGGGGGAGGAAGGAGGGACAGAAAGGACTGTTGTGGTCTTCCCTTTTTGGTTGAATAATTTTTATTCTGAAAGCTTTCCTCTTCTCTTTCCCAGGCACTGACCAGGCACTCCCTATTGCACTTCTCCTGATGTTTCTTGAATTGGTCCTCTCTGGTGCCACTCAACCTCCCATTTCTGTCTCTCCAAATTTCTTTTGCAGTGAGCCTGATGGGAATCCCTGTTAGGAAGGGGAGGTAATTTTCATCAAATGTAGCTAAAACTTTTTTACCACCACAGTGATATGAATGACCAAATAGTCTCCTTGTGAGGCATTTGACAATTCCTTCATGCTTGGGGATGTCTTCAAATACCCGAGCACTAATTACATGAACCCTTAAAGCTCTCTAGTGGTTCTTCCCAAGGATTCAGGGGCCACCCAGGGCTCCTCCACATGAAGCAGTATCTCAATATTGTACTCTCATGGCTGAAGAGGGTGGTGTTTGTGGAACAAGCAGACTCCCCACTGCCTGCAACTGTTGAGACTGGGCGATCAGAAATGATTTTGGGTTCATGATCCTCTCAGTGCTGTCCTTTGATTGAGATCCCACTATTTGCACATTGCTCTGCTACAACCATTGTCATGAAAATCTGCTTCCTGCAAGCCCTGGTCATGTGTACATTGGTTTTGGGGTCATCTTCGCCCACATGGTTCTCGTGATGACTGGTCCTTTTGCACCTGCAAAGGCATTGCTTAATCCAAGTCCCTTGATGTGGCCTCCACTGATTCGGATCCAGCAGCCACTCCCACCCTGTTGTGTGTGTCAAAGATGACCAAAGGGCTGAAGAACATGTTCTGAGGAAAGTGTCCTGGTTTAAAAGAGAGGTGTTTGACAAGGAAGTCTGGGACTTTCCTGAAATGGAAAACGACACCCTCTCTCCAAATTATTATAACTGAAATTATGGGGCTTTCAGGCAAGGAAGAGGAAAGCAATTTTTTACTAGAATATATATATATATATATATTAATTATATATATATATATAAACAAAAGCAACAACAACAGCAGCAACACAAACAGAAAGGAAAATCCCAGTAACAGCCCACTCCTACCTATCAAGCACTTTCCCCTTTGGTGGGCACTGTTGGCTCCCGTTGAGGTAGAGCTGCTCCAGTGACTCCCTCCCAGCTTCAGGGGGTGCTCCGATGCAAGATCAGGACCTCCCTGGTTGTGATGGTGGCTCAGATGAGGGAGAGTGAGAAAGGGCTGACTCCCCCAGCACCCACAGGAGGGGTGATGGGTGTTTGGCACTGTTAACAGCAGCCGGTGCAGGCTGGGAAGGGAGGCAGGGCTTTACCGCCGTGTTGCACTACCCTACAGAGAAAACATCTGGCGGGGGTGTTGCTCTGGCTCCAGGCAGCCCCTCATGGGGTGGCCCCAGGGGAGGAGAGGGAAAGGGATGACTCCCACCAGGCATCCAGGTGGACCATGTTGGTCTCTCTGTGTTTGTCTCTTGCAAGCAAATGGGCTCACAAGCTGGCAACAGAGAGAGCTCCATGGCAGTGTCAAAAAAAATAACGGCACAGGAGAGATCCAAGGCGAAGAAGAACCACATGAACATCTGTACTCCCAACCCAGCAAGGACAGAACTACCCCCAGTTAACACATTGCTAAAAATCACACTGCTTCACTTCCCCTCCCTGCCCCCAGTCCCTTGCCCGCTCTGATGCCCAGAACAGTTCTGATGGTATGCCAAGGCACTTGGACATTTCTTTAGTCTCTTGATCATTGTCCATTCATCAACTCCCTGGCACCAAATTGGAAGAAAATTCACTGAGAGAAAAAACCCCAAAACCTAACCCTCAAGAGAAAGTTTGAAGGAATGCAGTCTTTTCTCCTTGGAGAACTGGAGGCTTGGGGAGGACCTCGTAACAGTATTTTAGTAATGAAATGGGATCTGCCAAAAGGACTGAGACTTTCTCAGCACAGTCCTAGAATCCTAGAATCATAGAAGATGTTGAGTTGGAATAGACCCATCAGAAGCACCAAGTCCACCTCCTGGTCCTGCATGGGACACTCCCAAGACTCCCACTAAGTACCTGAGAGTGTTGTCCAAACACTTCTTGAACTCTGTCAGGTTTGGTGCAGAGACCATTTCTCTGGGGATCCAGTGCCAGTGCTCAACCACTAAAAACCCTCTGGGTGAAGAGCCTTTTCTTGATATCCAACCTAAACCTCTCCCAGTTCTGCTCCAGCTATTTACTCAAGTCCTGTCACTTGTCATGAGAGGGAAGAGTTTGGTTCTTGCCCTCTTCTGCCCCTCAGGAAGATGTTGAAGACCACAATGAGATCTGAGCTCAGTCTCTTCTTCTCCTGACTGAATGGGCCAGGTGACCTCAGCCCCTCCTCATACAACCCCTCCAGAACCTTCCTCATCCTCGTGGCCTGCCTTGGTCACTCTCTAGTAGCTTATAGTCTTTTTTATATTGTGATTCCCAAAAGGAGCCATGTGGAGGGGCTGCCTGTAGGGGTCACACACAGTGAAGAGGAACTGGAGATGATTTGGTTCTGGCAACTGGGAGTGGTGCTTGGGCAACAGGTCTCACTAGGAACAGGTGAAGCCTTGGTTTTGGGACAGAGCAAGATGTGCCAGCACCCTGTTAGATGGACAAAGCTGGTGTGTCTACCCAGAGATATAAGCAGAAGGAGCATGTGTGGAAGGTCACATGCATTACAGAGACCTGTGAACCCGAGCTGGTATTTAGAGCCCAGCAATGCCTTCAGCAGTTCACTTTTTGCACTTAAGAGAACATAGATACTCAGGGGAGGAGAGGGTTTGGAGCATTGCCTGGAGCTGAAGGCCAAAGACTAACCAGAAATTTTCAAGTACAGCTGGAAACATTCCTTAATGTTGGCATTAGCAGTGAAGCCACAAGTAATTTGCACAGGGAAGATGGACATGGGGAACAAAACATTAGATCCTTCTGGAGGTCTTGGGTTCACAGGGATGGAGACTCCACAGCACAGACTGAGTGTGTTACTAATCTTAATTTGTGACTCACCTCAGCCCTGCATGTCTGGGCAGCAGCTGGGCCCTGCCAGGTGCTGAGGGACTGGGTGAGGTTTAGATCTCATCTGCTTATTCCCAGGTGTGCTGGCCATAGACCGTAGGCCAGTTAATGAAGGAATGATAGGAAGAGATGAGGTTGTGGGCTATCCTGAGGCGTTGTTTCCCATCTCCACTCCTTAAGCCTTTTGGAGCCAAAGTCTCTATGATGGCCTTTGGCTACCGAGTAGCCAGGATGTTCTTCATCAGCTCCAAGGGAAAAAGGCACAAAGTAAAATCCACTGCAGCCAGCCCCACACATTGCTTTCTCCACCTCTTTCCTGAGCAGACTGAAGGAGTTGCAACAGAACAATAGATAACTCGGAAGCTGAGGCTTGAATGCAGCACAGTTTTAATTAGTTTAAAAAAGAAAAGCAGATGATTCACAGAGAGCACCAGGAGCAGCCACTAAGATGGAGCTCCCATGTGATGTTCTTTTCACTGCTCTGGAGAGGGAGGAAGGACAACAGGTCCACACTAGATGGGCCTGGGGAATGAGGGACAGAAAAGGAATGGACAGTAGAAGAAGGAAGTGATGGTAAAAAGCTCTGAATACAATGTCCCAAAGCTCTATCTCGGCCCAGAACCAGATTCCGAGGTTGTGGAGGTTCTTGCCCAAGGATGTTGCCAGCAGATTTAGCAGGGGGGACAACATCTGCTGCCATAGCAGTTGGTGATGCAGGAGAGGTCAAAGCCCCCAGAGCTGATGGGCACTCCACCACTGCTGAGGATGCTGCCAACAGCAGCGGAGGTGGAGGATCCCACCACGGTGTTCTGTGGGAAGGAGCTGAGGATGGGGCCAGGCAGGGTCACCACCACGGGCGAGGGCTGGATGGCCACGTGGGAGTCCTGGCACTGCCTGACACAGCACTCATTGCAGCTGTTGGCCAGCGGGCAGGGGCCGCAGGGCTGGCAGCAAGGGTTGCAGGGCTGGCAGCAGGACATGGCTCGGGGTCACAGGTGCACCTGGCACAGAGGGCAGGGAGAAGCAGAAAGTGAGTTCACATGAGGAGCAGCACTGCACCCAAAGCCCCTGCAGCCGAGGCTCCTGCTGGCCCACATTGCACTGCCCAGCTCAAAGCCCAGGAGCCACCTCAGCCAAGTCCCAGCCTCTCTCTGTGTCTGCACAAGACCTTCTCTCCCCTGCCCTCTCCCAGCACAAGCAGCTCCCAGTCCTGGGCTATGACAGCCCCTGTCAGCTGAGACCTACAGCCAGGAAAGAGCTGCTCTTGAAGCAGCAGCAGGAGGAGGAGGAGGGGGAGAAGCGGCTTCGCACTCACCTGATTCCTGAGGAGAAGGTGGTGAGAGAAGTGGATGAGAGCACCGAGACTTGGGCTGCCTTTTATAGCAGCCCTGCACTGCCCCAGGCCCAGAGTCACCTTAGTGGAAGTCATAATTTTGTGACCAGCTTATGTCAAATGTGAACCGTCTCAGCTAATGGTAGGGGCTGTGTCCTGGTTTCCTGTATTGCATCCTTTTCATTTCCTGGCTAATTCCGAGTTCTTTCCAGTAGGATGTGCTACTTCTGTAAGTGCCGAGAGGATCAGCCCAAGGATTTCCGGGGCAGAAAGACGTCAGTATAGGCAGAATGCTTTGATCAAGTGCCAGCAGCATCCCTTGTGGGCAGGTGATGTTATCTTGTGTCATTTCTGAGTGGTTTGTTTATGGCAAAGTTGTCAGGATAGGGCCTCTGCTCTTTTTCTTCTTGCTCACATGCCTAAGAACTGCAATGTCAGGGGACATGACAGAGATTTTGATGTTCTTTCCATCTTCCACTCTTCTCCTTCTTACCTCCTGTTCTCTATGTGTCCCCAGGCTGGTCTAGCTGGGATGTGTTGCCCTCTCTCCCTCAGCATGAGAGGCAGATAGACACCCTGCAGGAGCTCCACTGCACCTCAGTGGCTGCTCCTCGTTCCCTCTGTGAGCCACCTCCTTTTCTTCCTTAGAATCATCAAATTCTTTGTGCATCCAAACTTAGGACTCTGAATCATCCTTTGTTCTGTGGCAACGCTTCCTTTCTGAACAGTGAAAACGGTAGAGAAGTTGTGGATGGGAGTCCCTGAGTGGATTTTACTTTGTGTCCTTTCCCTCGCAGCTGACGAAGACATCCCTGGCCATTCTGCAGCCAGTGGCCATCAGGGAGATCCTGGATGCAGAGTGGCAGCAGTGAATATGAGAAACAATCTTCATTGTGAGTAGAACAGCCCTACACCTCATCCTTTCCTTCTCCTCTCCATTACCTAGTCCATGAGCATGGTCAAAGGCATGACACTCTTATGACATCTGAACTTCCTACAGTCCTTCAGTACCTGGTAGGGCCCAGCTGCTGTCCAGACATTCAGGGCTGAGACAATTCACAAGCTGAGATCAGTGTCTGCCACAATCAGGCTGTGCAGAGAAAAGCAGTGCAACATTTGTCAGTTGCTCATCTAACACATCTACAACCTCCCTTAAAATGCAATAGCACAGAACAGGGAGCACACAGTTACCTATAGGATGGGTTTTGCTGTGTGGCTGACTGGCCTACTCATATGTTCTGGCCAATAATTCTCGAGGACCCAATACCATTGGTAGATTAACTCCTCTACTATTTCACCAAGAGTATGTGAAGCATAAAAGAGAAAATTGCTCAGGTTATCAGTTGGCAGAGGATAGTGATCCTGAAATTACCCTATATAATGAGAGTGAACTGGTTGCTGCTGCCATTTGAACACCTGGAGTCGGGGTAGCTGTGAACTATCACGCCATAAAGAGAACTATGTGTGTTTTAGTTAAAGATATAAATTACACTTCACAAGTATTAATAGCCCTAAGTACAGACACAAGTCAGAGAAGCTGCCCTTGAAAATCAAGCAGCAATTGACTACTTGGTGTTGAGACATAATCAGGGATGTGAAGAATTTAAAGGGATGTGTTGATTCAATCTTTCCAATAACTCCTGACTAACAGAAAAGAAAGCAACAACTAAAGAAACAGCCACAAGTGCTACAGACACAGAAGGACTAGATTTCTCTTGGCTGGTTTCATGGCCCCACACTCCTAAACTTAGGATGGTTAAAACAATCTGTTGCGCTTGTCCTCATGACTGTATCACTTGTTTAATTCAGTGCTTACTGCTGTGCAGACTAAGTCAGTATAATAACTGGATATGACACTTTAAATAAATAATATTAAAGTCTCAAGGGGTGGATTTGTTACTGGAAAAGTTATATTTCTTAAAAGAGTCCTTGCAGCAATGGGGGAAGATGCTAGAAAATTCTTTTGACCTTAGCACATAGCATATGATCCCTATATTTATGGTTAATGCTTAGTTTTGTAGCAGACAGTGCTTAGTACGAATATCTGAGATTAATGTGACCTGTGTTAACTCCCTACATCTGTGACTGATAAGTCTTGTGTCAGCTAATGGTTCCTTATTTACTTATATCAGTGATTAATATGTGCTAGCCAATATCTTAGTTTTGAGATGTCTTGGATTGAAAGACAGGTGTCTGCCAAGAAAGTGGGAACATCCCTTGGAATGGAGAATATGACCCCCTTCCCTCAAAATTATTATAACTTTGAAATTAAGGGGCTTTCAGGCAAAGAGATGGGAAAAGGAACACGAGTTCTTTAGCAGTATGTGTGTGTATAACAAGGCAAACAAACAACCCCACCGGCAGCGACACCAAACAGAAGCAGAGCCCAGTCCCAGCTGCTCTCGGCTGCAGGCACTTTCCCCTTGGGTGCAGTTCCGGGCACAGCCAGCAGGGGCGCTGCTGGCTCGCGGCCGGGCAGGGTGGATGCAATGATTCCCCCGTGCCTGCAGGGGGCGCTGTTGGTGCTCTCTTTCGAGTACCATGGAAGGACCTGGTGGTGGCTTGTCCGTGTCATCTTGCCAGCCCATGTGAATAACCTTTCCTCTCCCAGAGGCGCTCTGTGGGACAAGAATTGGGAATGTGCTGTCTTCAGGATGCCTCAGCCCTGACAATGTGTGCAATGAACATCTGGGGCTGCAAGGGGCACTGCAAGGCTGTGCTGGAAGAACATTATCTGTCTTCTCTGAGAGGAAGAGGTATTTCCCTCTCAGTAAAAAGTAAGAAGAAAAATGTTGTGTATGGAAGGGGGCTTACAGCTGGTCTGTGAGTCAGAGAGAGTTAATGGATCAGATTCACTTTTGAAAGGATTTTTACCAAGGCTCTTGGTATGGAGACCAAGAAGAGAAGAAGATAAGGAAGAAGAAACCTGCAGCTGGGAAACATATTTTTAGAAAAGTTTTGTGAAAAACAGAGATGGAGATGGTTTTACAACAGTGAATGTTATGTTGGTTTATTGTAACCAATGAATAAAGTGTAAACTTTGTAGAGAGTATAAAAGACAGCATGCTGTTGTAATAAACAAACATTAGCCTTCTAAAATGTAGTGTGTCCTTTTGTATGTCACATCCGCCCCAACAGTGACAATTGTGGGTTGAGGTAAAGAGGGATTGCTTACCAATTACCAACAGAAAAAAATCAAGGCTTGATTTGGGAAACATTCATTCTACACTTTACAAACAAAAACAAAGCAAGACTGCAAAAAAACCACTAAAATAACTTCACCTTCAACTCTTTTTCACTGATGCAACTGCTCTTCCTCATCCCTGGTTCTCTTCTATTTCCTCCATGTTTAAGCAGCACAGTGAGATACAGAATGAGGGGCTGCAGTCAGAACACAACTGTGGACATACACTTGAGAAAGCTCAGAGGATGGCAGCCTGGAAAATATTCCAGGCCAGAACTTCTTGTTTCTGTTCTCAGGATGATAAGCTGGTTTTAGCTTTAGCTGGGGAGCAATTCTCCCAGGATGATAAATTGGTCAAAACAGCATGGAATCTGGTGAAAAACAGAATGGAATTAACAACATAGATTAACACCTGTTTTGGTGTCCAGGCCTGGGAAAGGGTGTCTTCTCTCTGAACCAATCATCCTTTTTCTGCCCTTGGAGTTGCGAGTCGTTCTATTTAAGCAAATGTGTTTCTGAATAAAACTTGTCTCCTTCCTATCCTGAGGGATGACCATGTAGCTGTGTCTTATTTCTGCCGCATCTAAAGGGGTAATATTCCTTTCCATGGCTACGCACAATAGTTATTTTTTGGCAAAGATCTACTTTAACATAAAAGTTAAAGCATAATCATGAAAAAGCAGCAGGATTTCAGCAGTTAGCATAAAAAAAAATCACACTTTCCTACCTTTCCAGACACAGTTGCTAGGCATTTTGGGAGGGTATGGAGGTGCTGGTGCTTGAACAAGAAAGAAGTTTGACTCAAAGATGTTTGACTTCCCCTGTACCACACAGAGAGTCTGTTCTACATCTCACAACAGAGCAAAACCCAGGCCCCAGTCCCTTCAGTCCAACACCCATTTGTTGTGAGAGGCAACCTTTTCCTCACTCAGGACCAGGCAGATGAATTGTACAAATAGATCCAGCATTGGTCTGGAGAGGATGAACCTGTGTCCCACCCCAGTCAGCAGCAAACCTCCAGCATAAGACGATCAATTCAGGGACTTCAATTCAGTGGTCTGACTGGAACAACTCAAAAATATGTGCATTCATATAAGGACAGGAAAAATTCAGCTGCTGAGGTCTCTGCTGACACAGCACGTTCCCTTGCATGGCAGTCCTTAGGCAAGAAGCACAAAAGGGGCACCCATTTCCTGGCAACTTTGCCACAAACAAACCCAGAGGAATGACACAGGTTCCCATCAGCTGAGCACATGGAATGCCAGCAGCCCTTGATCTGTGCATTCTGCAGGTCCTGATGTGTTTATAACCCGGAAATCTTTGGGCTTGTCCTCCTGGCACTTAGAAAAGTCCTCAAGGGGGAAAGAATATGGCACGTGCCAGGAAATGAAAATGCAGCAATGCAGGAATCCAGGACACAGTCCCTACCATTAGATGGGATGGTGCACATTTGACATGAGTGGGTCATGAAATTATTACTTCCACTAAGGTGCCTCTGGGCCTGAGGCAGCACAGGACTGCTATAAAAGGCAGCCCAAGTCTCAGTGCTCTCATCCACTTCTCTCACCTCCTTCTCCTCAGGAATCAGGTGAGTGGGAAGCCGCTTCTCCCCCTCCTCCTCCTGCTGCTGCTTCAAGAGCAGCTCTTTCCTGGCTGTAGGTCTCTGCTGACAGGGGCTGTCATAGCCCAGGACTGGGAGCTCCTTGTGCTGGGAAAGAGCAGGGGAGAGAAGGTCTTGTGCAGACAGAGAGAGGCTGGGATTTGGCTGAGGTAGCTCCTGGGCTTTGAGCTGGGCAGTGCAATGTGGGCCAGCAGGAGCCTCGGCTGCAGGAGCTTTGGGTGCAGTGCTGCTGCTCATGTGAACTCACTTTCTGCTTCTCCCTGCCCTCTGTGCCAGGTGCACCTGTGACCCCGAGCCATGTCCTGCTGCCAGCCCTGCAACCCTTGCTGCCAGCCCTGCGGCCCCTGCCCGCTGGCCAACAGCTGCAATGAGTGCTGTGTCAGGCAGTGCCAGGACTCCCACGTCGTCATTGAACCATCACCTGTGGTGGTGACCCTGCCTGGCCCCATCCTCAGCTCCTTCCCACAGAACACTGCTGTGGGATCCTCCACCTCTGCTGCTGTTGGCAGCATCCTCAGCAGTGGTGGAGTGCCCATCAGCTCTGGGGGCTTTGACCTCTCCTGCATCACCAACTGCTATGGTGGCAGCAGATGCCGTCCCTGCTAAATCTGCTGGCAGTGTCCTTGGGCAAGAACCTCCACGACCTTAGAACCTGGTTCTGGACAGAGATAGAGCTTTGGGACATTGTATTTAGAGCTACAGTCTACTCTTTCCTTCTTCTACTCTCCCCTTTCTTTTATTCACTGTCCATGTCTCCCCAGGCCAGCCTAGGGGGATGTGTTGCCTTCCGTCCCTCTTTAGGGCAGGCAGATGCACACTCTGCAGGAACTGCACTGCATTTTAGTGGCTGCTCCTCTTGGCCTCTGTGAGCCATCTCCTTTTCCACTTTACACTCAATAAAGTTGTTTTGCATCTGAGCCTTGTTGTCCAGGTCTTCCTTTTTCCCCATGGCAATTCTTGCAGTCTGCTCAGGGCAAAAGGTGGAGGGGCAGAGTGTGAGACTCCATGTAGTGGATTTAACTTTCTGCCTTTTCCTTTGGAGCTGTTGAAGAACATTCATGGCTACTCCACAGCCAATGGCAAACAGGGAAAAGATGGCTCCAAAAGGTGGCAGGAATGAGGAAGGGAAACAGCAATGTCCGGGAACAGCCCACAGCCTCATCTCTTCCTTCTCCTCCCCTGAATTGACTAGACTACCCTAGACTGGGTTGTCTAGGCCCCATGAGCAGCACATTTGGTCAAAGGCAGATGAGAAAGGACTCATAGAATCCTTCAGCACCTGGCAGGACCCAGCTGCTTTCCAGCAGGGCTGAGGTGATGCAGAAGTTGGGATCAGTATCTGCCAAAAAAGTTGAGCATACTGTGGAGTTGCACCATTAAGGTGAAGGAAACACTCAAGGTTCTTAAATGCTCAAGGTCAAAAGGAATGGCAGAGGTCAGAGGGTCCATGAACCATCAGAAATTTTATTAGTAAATACACACTTGGTGTGGAGATTGGTATGTTATAGTAGTCCCAGACCTACTATATAAGCAATGGCAGTGTGTTTTGGATTAAGGGGTTTGGTGAAAAGGGAGAGAAATTAAAGAGGTAGAGATGAATTAATAAGGGAAAAAGAGAGAGGGAAAAAGAGATCACCAGCCCTGGTTCCAGCTTCCATTCAGCTGATACGATGTCAGTTCCACTTTCAGTGTTGATCCAGTGGGTGAGATCTCAGTCCTAGTTTCAGTGTTGACCTAGCTGCTGGAGTATCAGTCCTGGTTTCAGCATCTATCCAGCTGTGCCAATCCAGTCTATTGGATGTCCAAGGTCCTGAGGTGTGAGGAGCCAAATTAATCTTGATGTCTGTCTCAATACTGGTTGTTAGAGACATGTAGGGGAGGGTTTGTGTCACAGTTGAGATGGACATGACATGACATGACATGACACTCCAAAGTTCATGTGGCAATAGCAAATTTTATTGTTTACAGCTTTCTTTTATAGGGTTTTCAAAAACCTCAGGTTCAGTCCTGACTGGCTACAATTTTGTTACCACCCAGCTCACTGGCCAATAGCAGCCTGCATACATGCTCATCAGGGATTGGCTGGAGTCCATTGTTTGTATTTGAATCTCTCCATCTTTCAGTGTCTCCTTCATAGAGATGTTTCTTTCTTTCCTTTGCTGGTATAGGCTGGTCAAGTTATGGTCAGGGTTACTTATGGCTGTGACGCCTCCAGGCCAGCTGTTAGCCATCACAAGGTTGCACATGTGCCACTTGCAGGAGTCAACTAGAAGAAGATGGGAGAAAGCCTTAAGTCTGGGGAGACTTTGCCTGGCGACCATGTCATGTCTTACATGGGAGTGGCAGTCAGCAGGGGACCACCAAAGACACTGTAGCCTCCAGAGAGGTTCTCCAATCAGATGGCAAAAAAGTCTCCACCAACAGACTGCCATGGAATGCTGGACTGGGCCAACGGTCTCCTGTCAGCAGGCAGACTTTGGGAGGAGCCAGGGGGCGTAAAAGTAACTATATCAGAAGCTCTGTGGCTTTTAGGGCTTTTTGGCTTTGGGCTTCTTGGTTTGGCTTTTTGAATCTTGTCTTTTAGAGGCTTTTTTGAGTCTGGGCTTTTTAAGTCTGGGGCCCTTTTAAGTTTTGTGTTTTTGTTTTGGCTCCAGCCTGCTGAGATCTGCTTCTTTATCCTGGCCCTAGCCCGTTTTTTTGTCCATTTTGCCCTGACTCCAGCCTGCCTTTTGGCTCTCCTGCCTTTGCTAGCACTTGCTCACACCTGCATACTTGTCTCCCCTCTCTCTGGGTACTTGGCGGGACACCAGGTGACATCTGAGCCTTGTGTGTAGCCTGTGTCCTGCCCTGCCCCTTCGCCCACCCCAGTTGCCGCCTATCCTGCCTCCCTGTGTTCCTGTCTGCTGCCCTGCCTGCTTTGTCCCTGCATTCCTGCCTGAGCCACCTCCATCCAGCCCTGCCTGCCTCCGATCCAGCCTGCCACAGCTATCCCCACCACGGGATCCCGCACCTCCTGCTCATTCCCTACTCACCTGCTGTCCACTGCCCAATGTCATGGGAGCTGTGCCTGTGGAGCTGCGCCTCTCCAAAAGCTGCACAGGCTCCCTGGCAGGCAGCCTGCACACACCCCTGCAGTGTGGATGTCGATGGCATTCCGATCTTCTCATGGTAATGCCTCCATTTGCCTTCTCTGTCTCCTCGCCCCCATCCTCTTCCATTTTCCTTCCTCTATTTTCTAACCCTCATTAGTAGGACAATTCCTTTCTTGTTTTTGTTGTTGTCTTTTTGTTACTAAAAAACTGTTCTCACATACAATGTTGTCTCAGTTGACTTAATTTTGTTCTAGACCATCTATGTTTAAAAGAACTCCTCACAGTTCTCCACAGTGGAATGCAACATGAGGACAGTGCTCTGACTTGGGGGGTACCTTTCCACGGATAGGTTTCTCTGCCCCAAAGATAGGTTTCTTGCTTTCTATGCAAATGAGTTCTCATACACAGTCTGACCTGTTTGGAAATGGGTTGGAGGCTTCAGGGGTCTTTGGGGGTCTTGATCACCCCCCTACAGGCCATACTCACTTGTGGCCTCATTTCTGTCCTGATGCTGCCCTGTGTTGTGCTTCTCTCCAGGAGCTACAGCAAGGATGTTTGTCCCAGTATCAATCTGCCTACCTCCGCATGGTCCCTTCTCCAGCCACATCCCATTTTTTCTCACAGAATCTTCAGGAACTCCTGAAGGCACAGCTGGGCTCAAAATAACAGCTCAGGCACACAATGCCCCATGGATCTTGTTTGGTTCCTTTCATGCTCCTCCTGCCCAGAGCTTCTGGCACAGACACCATCTGTGTCCATCTCACTGAGCACTGGTGTAGGAGCATTAGAAGATGAGGGACTTGTGTCTCAAACCCACAGCTTGATGGCTGTGGAGCCACCTGAGGGTTCTTGGTAAGAAGATGCTGTGAGAACAAACAGGATGTGGCTGGAGAAGGGGCCACGAGGAGGTAGGACAGCACTTTTCTGGGACAAATATCCTTGTTCTGGCTGCCGGAGAGAAGCACAGCACAGGGCAAGAGCAGGAATGAGGTGGAGAAGTGGGTATGGACTGTTGACCAAAGGCCAACACAATGCAGAGGATCAAGACCACCAAAGACCCCCGAAACCCCTCTGATCCATTTCTAGAAATGTCTAGAAGAACAAACTGCGCTTGATAACTAGTTTGCATAGAAGTGGGAAACTTAGCTCCTAGGTAGGGAAGCACATCTATAAAAAGGCAGCCCCACAAAATCCAGGCAGCACTCCCAGGACCCTGGATACTCCATCAGCTGGATCGATGCTGGAGCCAGGACCAGTGATCTTTCTTTCTTTCTTGGAAGGCCAACTGTGTCCTGGGATGCATCAGGCACAGCATTTCCATCTGGTCTTTACGGTAAATGTCAAAAAATATTCAGCTTGGAACACTCCTTTACTGGTTTACTCTGTCTATTGTCTCTGCTAGTGCAGTTAACAGGAGCTGCAAAGTTTCAGTTCAACACAAGAGCTCTCAGGATCACATGTTCCGGCTGCAGCAGGAGGAATGGGAAGTCCAGGAGACACAGGAGGAAGGGATAAAACTTCCTTATCTACCTCTGGAATCAGTTTGAATATGGCCTTGCACCTGTTCGGGAAATTCTCAGTAGTAGCCAGAGGGGGTAAAACTGATTCAAGGGTATGGAGGGAGCAGGAGTGAAGAAACTGGCTTAGAGATTAGGTTCAGATGTAGCTAGTGGCCTTTCCAGGAATGTAAGCCTCTGGGAAAAGGAAGGCTGCAGGTTGCCTGGAAACACTGATAGCAAACAGCTGAACTTGGCAGGAGTCAGAACAGGCAGCTGCAGCTCCTGCAGATGAAAGGCTGCATCTGGCAAAGGCCAAACCATTTTTCCAGGAAGCTTGTTTTAATGAAAACCCTTCAAGAGGAGAGACAGTGGTGATGCTAGCTGATGTTGGAGTTCCCCTCTGCTCCCTCTCAACTGAGAGAATCTTCATGTGCCCTCATGATGAGGATCATACACACAGACTGACTCATGTGGGCTCATGCATAGCTGCATGGAGCCTAGCAAAATTCTTTATATTCATAGAAGGCCATAAAAATACCAGAAACTCAGAACATTGCTGAGGACATGTTGGGAGCAATTCTGACAGGAGAGGACTCAGGTATACTGGGCAAAGACCAGGTCACAGACACACTGCTGGTATTCACAGCTGACCAACAGAGACTGCACACAAAGAGGATGAGGCAAATGAGACCAGCTGAATTTTCCTGAGATCAATGTTTGTTGTAGCAATGGGGTCAAAGCAGCAATGACTGACTGTCAGAGAAAGTCAGGGAGAAAAACAGAAAAGGATGCTTAATATCCCTTCACATGGTAGTCTTTCACATGCAGGAATGAGAGCAGTGTAGATTCCCTGAAAATTTTAGCACAAAAATCCACACAGACATGACACAGGTTAACATCAACTGACCACATGAAATGCCACCACCTGAGCCTTCTACCTGAGCTGACATGTTTCTATCATGGAAATTCTTGGGCTTCTCACCCAGCACTTAACAGAAGTTTCAGATATGAAAGCACATAAAATTAGATGGGAAAAGAAAAGGCAGCAGTGAAGGAAACTAGGACA